GAAACCGGCCTGGAGGGGTTACCTTTGGCTGACGTCTACCAAATTGAACTTTCGCTGGCTGCATTACTCATTGATGCAGACCACTGAACCATCAATTTGTCCATTTGTTTCTAGCTATTTATTATCTCTGTCGTTAACTGGCTCTCACATCCTTCTCCACATTCTTTCCATCTGATTTGCTCTTTTCTCTCTCAATCATCTTGTCCCTCAGATTCCTCTAGCCTATTCTTGTATCTTAATCAGCTATGGGTGAAATCAAGCAGAAAATTACTTTGGGATTGATTGAAATAATATGATTGTGTTTTAAGTTTGTATTGACAAATACTTGTTGTGAACCTATCAAGGTTTTTCCTCATCCTTGAAACCTGTCAATAACGACGTTCAAGGAAGTAAGTGATCAGATTTACTTATGTTGATTTAAAATGGAAGAAAACAGATTAGATGGTATGGTATGATTCTTATTCTTACAGGGACAGTGTAGAGGAGCGATGCATAGTACAATATTGTAGCAGCAGCTAATTTACACCTGTAGTCCCTGAGAATTTTGTAAAACAGTAAAATTAAAATAGATGGAGATATGTCCATACGGTCCGTGTACTTTTGCGTTCAATACATTTTCTATTTTTGAAGGGAAATGGAAAATTGAAAAAAGGCTATTTTGCATTTTCAGGCTCACAGCAATATACAAAAATAAAACCATTTTGGTTTTATTCATTGCTTATAAGACATAAATATTATAATAACCGGATTTGGGAACTAGAAAATGCAATAATTAACCTTTTTTCATGTGTATTGAATACATTTTGGCGTCAATCGATTACCCAGAAGTGAAACAAGTTTGTTTACTTTGTCGCATGGCGCCGTAAAGATGGCGCCGTGGCAAGAGCTCTGGTGTGTGTCGTCTGGTGCACACTGGGGTAGTCTTGCACAGTCTTTCCAATGTGGTTTTACTGCAAATGGCAAATAAATGAATCTGAATCTGAATCTACTTCAGCCCTATTCGCTCTAATTTAGTATAATTAAATACGCAAATGACCTCCTGTATTTGTCCAAACTCATACGTTCTCTGATAATACTAATCCCGTGAGAATCTGCATGTCAGTGATTGCTATTGCCGCTTTCGCTTTACTTTGTGCGTTGTTTTTGGGGTCACGTTGCGGCTTTGTGACCTGCAGAGTCGCGGCTGCTGCTGTCACTGTGAGGTCTATGGAGAAGTATAGAGCACAGTGTAATGTTTTCACTGACACTAAATGATCAGACCGATGGTTGTGTTTGTACGTTTACTTTACTCTGTCCTAAACTTACAGACGTGTTGCTGCAGGCGTTACTATTTTTCGGCTCCTACTTATATTAGTGGTGCGTTCACGAGTAGTCCATACAAACTATTATTAAACATTACAGACATTATGGGCCATAGAACTGTAGAGCAGTTTAAAATGTTAGTCGCACACGTGCGGCTGTTACAGTATGTGAGATGTCACTGAAAATAGACGTCCTCCGTGATTATCACACATAATCAGGGGTCCACGGGTAATATTAATCCCGTGCAAGTCAGGTGCGAGTAAACAAACTTGTTTCACTTCCGAGTAATCGATTGATACCAAAATGTATTAAATACATAATAAAAAAAGGTTAATTATTGCATTTTCTAGTTCCCAAATCCGGTTATTATAATATATATATATATATGTCTTATAAGCAATGAAAAAAACCAAAATGGTCATTTTTGTATATTGCTGTGTGCCTGAAAATGCAAAATAGCCTTTTTTCGATTTTCGATTTCCCTTCTAAAATAAAAAATGTATTGAACGCAAACGTACACGGACCACATACATTATCAAGGAGAAATTACAATTTCATTTACCGTACAGGTTATATTAAATCCACTCATATGATGACAAAAGAGTGAGATTCATTTAGGTTCACAAAGAAACTGCATTCTGAATGTTCAGTGGTATCCCTCATGTGCCGCCCCCAGCGATGGTCCTCAGATCCCGGCCCATTGGCCTCTGTCTGCTCGTTAATCACACAGTGTCAGCCCTTTAATAAGTCCTTGACGGGGTTTCTCAGTGAACGACACTCTTTATCAAAGCTTTACACTAGCTTTATGTCCTGAAGAATGATTGATCCCTGCGCACAGCGAGGTGCCCTTCAGGCTGACTGACGGAGCCAGAGTGGCAGAGGTGTGGAGAGTGCGGACAAGCATCTGTGATCTCTGTACAGCTGAGCTCTCACACCAGGGGCATGGATTCATTGATCGTTCACATTTCTCTTGTCACTAACAAAGACATTTGTCTCCAGATGCGTCACTGATGCGTCACATAATATAGGCTCAGATTAGATTATTTTTCAGCCTCGCCCACTTGTGGTTGAAGGCTGGAAGGGGAAGCACAGATGTCAGACCACTTGAACTAAATTAATAACTCAAAGTAGCATTGTACCAATTAGGGCAGCATAATATATCAAAACAATATTGTTATTGCGATATTAGTGCGTGCAATATCCATATCAAAAAGATCTGCGATTAAAAACTTTTTTTTTTCTCCCTTTCTTAAAGACAACAAAACAGACACATCAACATTCAACAAGAACAACAAGTAAACAAACAAAAAAGTATATAAATATATGCATTTGAATTTCATTAATGCTGTGCTTATTTTTTTTTTATTTGCCTGTTGCGTTTCAATGCAAAAATATCACAATAATACTAAACACTCATATCGAATATCGCACTAATTTCCAATATTGTGCAGCCCTAGTACCAATTATAGAAAGATTGGGATCTCAACTTTTCTAAAACTAAATTATCAGCATGTGTATTCAAATGGGAAGACACAAAACATGTGACAGACGTCAGAAGGGGGCTTGAGGGAAAGTCACTATAACGCATTGAACGAAGCCAGGGGGAGTTTAAAAGATGTTGAGACAGCAAATATAATCCAAGTTGTGCCTTTTCTGTAAACTCACTATTCTTTATGGACTGCTCTGTGGTTTGCACAGGTATTACACAACTTGCACATCCTCCTGACCGATTAAATAACGGCTCATATCAAATAAGTATGATTCATTGGTCACATATTGTTTGCATGAAGTCCATGGAGACTTCAGATCCAACCTTGCTAGATAAAGCAAACATACATCCACATTTATTCAATCCCTAACCCTAGCCTAATTATCATCTGGAAATCCAGTAAGTTATCCTACTTTTACAGCACAGCTATAAGAGTATTTAAATAGAGCTCAAAGTGCATGAAGTTAGACCTTATTGTCAGGATAGCCGTAACTGGTTTAACGGCTTCAAGCAAGTGCTTCCACAGGTGCAATAAAAATAAATGAGATACTCCATTCCTCAGTGAAATACGCAAGTGCTTAATGAATTTGTTATTGGAATATACATCAGTAATTAACTCCCAAGGATTTCCTTGGGACATGTAAGATAAAACACAACACTTTGGAAAATAAGTATGATCATGAGGACAATGTTTTCTTTGGTTGTGTTGTCATCAAGGTGAGACTGGGCAATACATGTAATTAAGTCAATTAATTGGCTTTTAAAACATCGACAATGTACGTGAGAATAAAATGTAAAACTACGCACATAAAACATCTTGGCACAGGTCTGCATTCTACAAGTGCTTTTCCGGTTTATAATGCTTTAACCCAACAAAAAATAAATCCCCTGACTGGCCATACCTGTATGTGAAAGCCAGATCCCATCGGACTATTGAAGCTGAGCAGGGCAGGGCCTGGTTTGTACTGTGATGGGAGACCTCTGGGAACTCCAGGTGCTAAAGTGCGGTAGCTGAGGCTGTAAAGTGCCAAACGGTTATTGTGTCCATAGGCAAGACACTTCACC